CTACATGTATTACCAAAAAGGAGAAGATAATAAGAGGCTTTTTTAAAGCAACCAGTCACAGTTCTTGTGGTTCCCAGGTGGAATCTCCACAGCTACTGTAGCCTTTATGGTTATTATAGTTTTGACCCAATTTTGTATAGTAGCTGGTCGAGCTGGAACTAATTTGAACTACCTTATACACTGTAGATGTGTGATATATTTAACTGTGCATCATGTTTGTTTTTTTAAATAATGATCATATACCATGTGCCCTTACCATTTTTAAGATACACACTGTGGCCACTTCATTAGGTACAACTGTACAGTCTAATATATAAAAACGCATTTTATCTGTACGGCTGTCAAATAATCGTAGTAGAGTACAGTACAATGTTTCCCTTTTACAGTAAAAGTACTTATCCTTAACTACACAGCAGAGATATATAAGAAGTGTGCTCTGTGACACAAATAACTGAGTGAAAGAAAGAATGACAGCAAGAGGACGACAGAAACAGAAACGAAGCCACAAAGAGCCCAGCAGCATGTGTTCTTCTGTTCTCTCAAAGGGAAACAGTGCTGGTGGCTTATTATAGGCAGTAGGCAGGATTTCATGTACAGCACAGTACTCTCAAGATGCTCATTCTGCAAAACCACCATTATAACACTGTAGCTATGTGATGTTAAATGATAACATCCTCCTAACATTAGATCAAAAAGGGTAATTAAAAGAAACTCATCGTGACATGAAAAGAAGATGCAAAAGTAATTGAATTTCAATGCAATACCAGGGAAGCAATATAGCACAATGTTTAATAAATATAAACAATTATGGATCTGCATTTGTGGTGATTTTTTTTCTTCCTCATATGGAAAATGGGTTACAATCAGAATCTCACATAAGATCTAATATCTAAGATCAGGTTAGACAGCACGCAAGACCTTCATATTCTGTAACTAAATCAGAGTGTGTGTGTGTGTGTGTGTGTGTGTGTGTGTGTGTGTGTAGAAGACTAGAAATGTACAGAGTCTGGCATAGATGAATGGATGCTACCAGAACATCTAAAGTACAGTAAATAACACAGCTTATTTGAATTTGTTTAATCTGTACAAAAAACAAAAACAACTAATTGTGGGAGGTTATGTGCCGGACTATTTCTTGACAGTTTCTTCCGGCAGTGTTTGCTTGGTGAACCAGTGAACTTTTCTTTTGACAGCGAAAAAATAAAATAAAATAGACTAACCAGCAAACAAAATTATAGACCTGGATGACTAAATTTATGAGCATCAACATTTTTCACGAGTTGTCAGGTCAGTTTGTGTCATCTGTGTAGCAATGTAGAGACGTAGCATGTAAATAAAAGTGTACAGGAGACAGTCCTTAAAGTCTTTTCTTTTGTAAATTACAGTTTGAAAACACGAATTCAGCATAAATATGACCTTTGTGGCACTTGTCCAAGCCTATTTTCTAGTGCAGCATCTTCTTCACCTTATTCTGATGTGCTGTAACGGGCTCATTACTGTCCCCTTAGGCCAAAGAGAAGAAACACCCACTGGGACGTGATGGTTGGTGAGAACTGCAGTTGTAGTAGGTGTTTTCCACCCGACCACCACAAGGGGCAATAATAAGAGTCCTTTGCACACTCAAAAAATAAGTTTCTTTAATCCAGTTTTTTTTTACATAATCACGTGTTATGGGGTTGAGCTATGATGATTGTAAATTTCACTAAACCAAGTGAAATGATCTCACTTCATTAATAAATACTTCACACAGACACTGAGAAAATATTCACAGAGATTTGTTCAGTTTGCAGTATAGACTCACACTCCCACACCACCACAACTACCACTTGTTAAAAATCTCACAGGAAAAGAAAACCAGTTCTTTCTTGACCACTATGTATGAAAAATAAACAACACATGTACCCAAATCTGTAATTGACTGAGCGGAGCCGAGTGCTGCAGAGTGGAGCGGAGAGGCTCGTATGATCAAACAGGGGTCTAAATATAGGATGCTGCTGCATGATTTCTTCTGCTTGAGCGGGGAATCGCCCAACCTCAGCTGAGAATGAGAGGAGAGATTAAAGGAAAGGCAAGGAAAAGAAAGGAAAGGAAGACAAGAAATTAGAGCCATGCTTAGAAAAAAGATCCCTCGGTTCTGTCAGTGTATGATGAAGTGCATGTGTGTGTGTGAGAGAGAGATGTAAGCTTGGTCACATGGCTGTGCATCCTTTTACATCCATCACAACACAGGGGAGGGCCAGCAGCTCGGTAATCTCTGTGGATCTGTCTATAAATGCTGGCTGCTTCACAATCTGTCCATCATCTCACCATGCTGGTTGCAATGTTGTGGCCTCAGTGGAAAATCACTAAAAGAAGCGGTCAGTCCATTAAAAGCATGATGAATGGCACTTAATCAACATCCGGTGACAAGTGTATCTGAATCTCCACCGGATTTCATTCAGATTTTTAACAATGAATCCAATCATAGATTTTCTTCTGTGGTCCTCTCGGGTTATTTTCATCAAGTAAACTGTATGACAGCTTAACCAGGAATTCAGAGTGTTTTGCTTTAATTACCACTAAATGGTGCTGGGCGGTATGGCCAAAGATTTTTATCACTTTTTAAGATTTACAGTATTTTTTTTTTCTCAAAATGATACAATAAATAAAGGAAATGTGAAAGAAATGTGTAAACAAATGCCAACAAATGTATCATTGCTTCCTTTTAAAAACATTTTTTGGATAATTGTATGTGCTTAAAGAATTTAAGTTCAAAGATTTCTCAAATGTTTTATTAAAAAAATAAGAAACAAATTGTGCCATGGTGTTTTGCTTTTTGTCCGTTAGTTATGGGTTATTATTTGTCATGTCATAAAGTATACGCCTCTCCCTCCCAATACACTGACACAAAAAATTTGGCCTGTTAAGGGTTACAGTAGTTGTTTCAGCTATGGCAGTATAACAACAATATGAGACAGGAAGTTTAATCTATAAGATACAAAGTAAAATGTGCTAGTTTTAAGTCAAAATGATGAGATAGTGAGTGAGTCCACAGCCATGCTAACAGCTCTGAGGATGCTTTAACATTAGCCTGCAGTAACATGCTCATAATAACAATGCTAACATGTCTGTACATGGTTTATCACGTTAAAGCCAAACTGAAATTAAACAGCTTCTTTTGTCTGCTACAGCATCATTTCTCTGTAAACCACATGTTCTCTGTTCCCCTTTGAGAGAAAAATCTGAAACCAAAAGGAAGAATTTTCTACTTTATATTTTCTTGTTTCATGATGGCGACCCCTAGTTTTGCAATAATATGATTAGGTAGTCGCACTGCTAGTGTGACCAATGGGAAAATCATGAGATTAAAATGAAATGGGTCAGTAGTTGTAGCTGAAATGAAAATGTTGACAGGTTTCCTTCCAGTATGTCGTGAAATGACCCCATTTACAACCACCCAGTGAGTGCTCAGCTTCATAGAGGCTAACCTAGATTTAATTGCTGACGTTTGGTCCTGTAAACACGTTTGTTGTTAATGGGGCTCATGAGAAATTCAAGCTCTGTCGCAATCAAAGGCTAATAACTTTTTGTTCAACAAGTCAACCATTTCTGAACCACATGTAATCACTTGAAGTAAAGAGGGTGACATTACACAGCTGGTGAGATATTAACAGGAGCAATTCAGTAAAAGAGAATAAAATATGAAGCCATTTTAGGCTTGTGTATAACCACAGACCTTATTTAATTGGTAATAATTAAAAGGGGCTGCTGATAATGCATTATGCTCTTCAAACAGGCAGTGGTTTGATACTAGTCTTCTATTAGGCAGAATGAAAAAGATAAAGTAAAAGGAGTGGTTGATGGAGTAGTCAGATCCCTTACTTTAAGTAAAAGTACCAATACAACTATATAAAACACTCTGTTATAAGTAAAAGTCCTGCACTCAAAATCCTACTAAAGTAAATGTGCAGAGAGAATAAGAAAATACTTCTTCAGAGGAAAATGGCCCCAGTGACTGATGTATGATAGCAAATCACTTTATTAGATTGTTTATAATAAAGCATCTGTTACAGTAGCATTGTGGGGACCGCTCAGAAAAAACAAAAACTGAATATGATATTCATAGATATGTTTTCAATAGTGTATAATGACCTAAAAATGACATGTAACTACATTAATGGATGCCACTAAATCCTACACATTGGACCTTTAAGTTTAAAGGTCCAATGTGTTAAGGTTAAAGTTAAGGAAACCATCTGAGACGTTTAGAGTAGAAATACTACTGGTTTATTGTGTGAAAATGCATTTTATTTTATACGTTTATTATGCTTTATAATCTTAGAATTAAACTAACTAATAAGTATAGCTGTGAAATAAATGTAGTGTATTAAAAAGAAGTTAAGCTATGAAGTAGCGGAAATTAGAAATACTCAAAAAGTAAAGTACTTAGTTACTTCACACCTCTCTGGAGAAGAAAAGAAAAGAAAAAGAATACCAAAAAGAGAAAGAGAAAATAAACACAATTTGCCAGAGAACAAAGAAATGAATGTACCTTCCAGACAAAGGAAGTTGTGTCATATTCACACTTTCATTTCTAAAGAACTTTGTTGTTCTCAAGAACTTTTACCTAAATATTTCCGAAACCCGAAAGTCTTATTAATGCTGTCATTATTATTATCACTATTATTATTATTATTATTATTTAAAAAAGAAACCATTGATTTATTTTTAATTTTTATCTTCATTTTAATCTTACATTTACATGGATTTATCTCTTTCATGCTCATTTTTTTTAAACAATAATGTTTTAAACCTTAAAAACCCTAATATTTTAAACTTTAAACTCTGTACATTATACCTTGAATCTTTCTCAGCGTATGAAATGTAAACTTTATAAATAAAACCTAATGAAGACACCTTTTGCTCCTGGATTGTATTGCTCTCATACGAACAGAGGGTGACACCCTGTGGCCAGCTGTGGGCTCTCAGCTGTCATATCACAAACCACCGACAGGAGGCAGTGTCAATAAACAGAGCAGCCTTTTCTTCATCTTCTCCTCTACCGGCTTTGGTTTTCTTTCTCTTCCGGTTGTCGTCTGTTCGTGTGGCAGGTACACAGTTTTCCCTCCTAGGTGGACTTTTAAAATCTTCATCAATCTTCGTGTATTTTACATTCCTGCACACAAACACCCACTGATTTTGAATCGACACTTTACTGCGCACATTTCCATCGTAGTATGTTTTAGATGCGATGCTCATTAGAAGTGTAAAATTGGATTTTAAAAATTGCTAACGCTGCCCCGAGTAAAGCTTCACACCAGCAGTTGTCCCTCTTACAGTCAGAAAACCTGTTCATTAATAACCATAACTGCCCACATAACTAAACAAGTATCTACCTTTTAGATACACACTTGACTGCTACTGTTTGTTTACGAAGTTGTTTGTTGAACGCATCTGTTTACATTGTACCAAGTTTCCCTGGCGGCCGGATATTAAACATGCTACTGGATGCTAAATTGAGCTCCAAGTCTAATTCTAATGCTGTCTTCACTTCTCTTCTCTTCAGATCAATCAGTGTCGAAATGGCCAAGTCTAAGAACCACACAACCCACAACCAGTGTAAGTATGACTGTAGTTAAATCTTTTTTAAGGTTAATTGAAGAGCTATCATCTAATAGCTGTAAGCTTTTTACAATAAGTGTTAAGTTTTCAGCTTTTACGTTTTTGCATGTTCGTCCTCTTATAAATTGTGTTCGGGTGTACTGTGCATTGGTGAAATTTGCATGAAATGGGACAAATGGACTGAATGTGTTTTCCCTCTGGTCTGAGCAGCTCGTAAAGCCCACAGGAATGGCATCAAGAAGCCCAGATCTCAGCGCTACGAGTCACTGAAGGGGGTACGTACAGTTACAGCTCTGTGCTGATGGGGTGGTTTACATGTGCAAAATACATTGAATGGCTGAGAATTAAGATATGCAGGGATTCGGACATGTTGATATACTGCAGCAGGTCAATAATCGGACTCTTCCCCTAAGCTGATCTTCTCATTTCAGCTTTAGGAATGATACAAGACTGGGTTTTGTGTGTACGCTGGAGAATTTGGATTGATTTTGGATTTTCCCCCTTAGAGAACAAATGTGTCTGATACAGTTCAGTTGTGGAAAGCAGCACATACACACCTGCAGAGGCTACTCTGTTTGTTTAATTGGATTATTTTGAATGCGATAATTCATCCCTGTTAACTATAATTGTTCCTTACACACTGCTGTTTCTCTGTCATGTCTGAGGTCTTTTATGTCGGTGTTATTACATACAAGGAATCTGCTTTGGTATACTGGTGCATAACAAACGCAGTATTACAAAAGAATATATATGAAGATGAAAGCCAGTACTGCGAGTCAAGAAACATGAGAAAACGGTGACATGAAAGAAAATGTATAAAGCAGAGTAGGACACTGGATGATCTTAAGGGGAAATCCTGTTTCTTTAATTCCTTCCCTGATCACAAACACACTTTCATATACACGCCTTTTAAGAAATCAGATTATTGCTTGCTTTAGGAGTCGAGTGTCGAACCTTGCCTGGACAATGTTGTTACACTTAACTTTTTAGACTAGTTATTTATTTTAAGAAAAAAAACTATTGCTGTTCACACTTTTTAATCCCAACTCTCGCCATCTTGTCTCATATCAAAAGTTAATGGGAATTGGTTTTCAGACTGAGCTGACTGCTGTGATTTCTGATTTTCTAATGTGTTGCTACACAGACAGCTGAAATATGACAAGAACCAGAATTTAAAAATGCTGGAAGCATTATCCAGTTTTTCACAAAACCTGTATGAATGTTTCCTTTATATGGTTGTACATTGACATCACTGAGTCAGTTTGACTTTAAGACTTCTTGTGCTGATATTATACTTGATTTTAGAATTTATATTTATCCATAAAAAGGGCCACAGTGTTGTTTTCCAACAAAGTAACACAGATTCACTTAGATGAACGTGTCTAAGTTTTAGGTCATCATCTACTAAAGGAATCAATGAGGAGGTAGCACAGTACTACAGCTAAACAGTTTTATTTTTTTATTGTGAGTGTAACCAGCAGGCAGGTTTAGAAGTTGCAGCTGAATGTTGTCAAATGTTTTTTTTTTATGTAGCAAGCTACTGTTTTCACTAAGCTAAACTAACTAATCTTATTACATGATCCTAGTAGAAGGTAATATGTTGTGCCTTTACTTGCAGGAAATTTATTTTCATACATACCATTTTACAATCTTTTATCGCCTCTCACAGGAGTGGCTGGGAAATAATTCTATTCTATTACTTGTAACAACTTAAGTTTTGACTTTAGAGACCAGTGTTAGTATTAATTGTCTTGAGACTGTGGATGTAAGTGTATTGTACCGTGGCCACTGTTTGCTGTCAGATGTTAAACTGGCACTAACCACACAGTCTGATCGTATAGGCTAGTGAGGTGGTTCTGATCTTTCTAGAAACCTGGATAGTGTTCAGTTTGGTTAATCCAGTTTGAGCCTGTGTGTCTTTTGCTTAGTTGTATAGATATTAGATCTCAGAATTGTGCACCACCTCCACACTTGCATCCCACCTCCTCACTTCGCTGTTTTTTTCTTTTCCTTTGCTGCAGGTGGACCCTAAGTTCCTGAGGAACATGCGCTTTGCTAAGAAGCACAACAAGAAGGGCATGAAGGCAGCGCAGAAGGCAGTTCAGGCGAAATAGGCTGCTTTCCGGTCACCTCCATGTCTGTCAGCGTTCCACGTTTCCACCATCACAATAAAGCTATGCTTTGTTAACAAAACATCAGATTGCTTTTCCATTTTTTTGTTGTAATTGCCTCAGTCTGACTGTATGAAATGAATGACTTGATTGGGTGCCTTCCTCCAAGGCGATTTAAACTGTCTGGATCAAAACCACAAGAGGGAATGAGGATTATTACACAGGCGTCTGGCAGCTGAGTGGTTAAGACTCGTACCATATAGATAGATAGACTTTATTAATCCCCGAAGGGAAACTGGGTCGTCATAGCAGCCAGGTACATTAAAATACATTAAAGTACAACAATAGAATAAAATACTTAGATAAAAAAAAATATAAATAGGAAGGTAAG